AGCATAGAACAACAACACCAAAAATATCTGACTGTCCAAAAATTTTCAGGCAATGCGAATGTTCACAGGCTATAACAAGATAAACCAATAATATCTGATTGTCCTACAATGTTCAGGCAATGTAAATGTTCACAGTTTCCAACAACAAGAACAACAACAGAATTGGCCAAAGTGTGTCAATGCCTGTGAATTTTCACAGCATACAACAACAACACCATTAATACCTGATTACGCAAACATTTTAACTCTATGTGAATGTTCATATCTGTTACCCACAGCAACAGAAAAAGAACTGGCCAAAAAATTTTTGAAACCATGTTAATGGTCACAGCATTGGACAACAACGGGGTAACATCTGGAATAATTTGATCATCAAACCATTTCCAATCAATGTGAATGTTCACATTTTTCAATAACAACAACTACAACTAGAACATTGTCGATTGTTGACAGTTGTGAACACAATGTAATGGAAAATGAAATGGTTTTGAGTGCAAAAATGAAAAAATTTAGGGATTACGATTGAGGGGTTCAGAATAAATGAATGCTTACGTTTTTTGCCCATTTCGACGACAAAGATGTTGAGACGAAGGGACGATTCGACGAAGAAACGTATACAGTTTTCTGGGCGTACGAACGGCGAAGAAGATGATGAGACGATGTGACGATCGAACGAAGACAGGCTTCTCGGCGTAGGGATGGGGAGAAGATGATGAGACGATGCGAAGATGCAACGATGGAAGGAATACAGTCTTCGGGGCGTCGAGGCGATATGGAATATGGTTTGGATTTGTGGACTGTAGAGGTACTGTGCGTGATTTCTTGCGCAAGAATAGAGAGGGGAAGAGAAACGGTTATTAGATTCAAAGAGAGAGAGAGAGAGAGGGACGCGTGTTTTTTAGGGCTTTTTGGTCTTTTTGTATAAAATGGACCTAATGGAATATTATAAAACAGTATGGGTTTCCTGGAACTCCACTCTTAGAGAATGGATTTACTAAAAAAGCTCTCAAAAAAAAATGATGTGAAATTTATAATATTTTTTGACTTTATAACTATATCAATCTAATGTCAAATAAAACATTTTCTACCACGCTCTCATTAACCAACGAGTTGAGTTTTACATTGGGAGTGTTTGGTGGGGCTTTTTTGAGCTAACTTATAGCTTCTATCTTTTAAAAAGTTATTTTGGACTGTTTGGTTAAAATTATTTTAAATGATTCTAACAACTTATTTTAAGTCAAAAAAATTGATTTTGAGAAGCTGCTCACCCCTTATTTCTGATTATCAGCTTTTGCTGTGGGCATGTTAATTCACGGTTATACTCCTAGATTTTTTTATTTTTTATTTTTTTAAAAATAAAAAAAGACCCAAATGGATTATAGAATATTATTATTATTATTTTTTATGAGAAATGTAGACAAATAGTGAATAATAAAAAATAAAAGTTAATCGAAAAAGTTACTTCACAGCTTATTTAACAAACACTACTCAGCAACTTAAATCTATAATCCAACAGTTACACCAAACAGATTAACAGCTTCTGATTGAAGTTATAATCTATAATCTGTTAAGCTATAATTTATAATCTGTTCTAACAACTACAGCAAACAGGACCTTGATCTTCACTTTAGTTGTGCTATCTCACCTTGGAGGACATTATGGGCTTGGGTCGAGTAAAAATTTGATGGGCAGGTTATAGGCTTTTAAGCCCAATTATGATAATGTGTAATATATAATTATTATTATTTTTCTAATGTTTTACACGGGATAATACCATCGACTCAAAAATAGGAAAAAATGTGGACAGTGTATTGTTTGGAACACTTAAAATTTATCCTGAATCTCATTTTAATAATTTAAATTATTTATTTTATTAGACATTCTGTAAATATCATTTATTAAATAATTCAGTTAAATTATTTATTTTATTAGACACTTTGTAAATATCATTTATTAGATAATTCAGTAATTATAATTTATTTAATTTTTTTTAATAAAATAAATTATTTGAATCATAAAAACAAGACTTAAATAAAGCACAAAGTAGAAGAGGATTGAAGAATTGCTGAAAGCGGGAAGCACGTGAAGGAAGCAAAACACAAACAGACTCCACACTATAGAGAGATGTTAATCTCACTCACTCGCCTTCGCAACACGTGCATCCTCATATAGTCCCTCCCGACTCTCACACCTACCTACCTACCTCCCATCCCAGTCACTTTTTCACTCTCTCTCTCTCTCTCTCTCTCTCTCTAAAAACCAAATGCTCCAGCGATTGTTGTTTACAAATCAACCACAATGTGGCAAGTAATGTTAGCCGCAGCAGTAGCTGGATCTGGGTTCTTCGCAAAACGCTTCCTCAACACCACCACCACCAATTCCGATGATCCCAACATTGAAGCTGACACAAAATGTGATCAATCGAAAGAGCTTCAACAACACTTGACTACTCCTTCCAAACCCCAACTTGCAATCCCTCTCGTATTTCAATCATGCAATGACTGCAAATCCGAGTCCGAGACGCAGAGCTCAACAGCAGTTGGTGATGGATCGATATTTATGTTTTCGAGTCCTGTGTCGAAGGGAGGAACTGGGTCTCGATTTGGGTCGAAGAAATCGGGGGGAAATAGAGAGGGGTTTAAGATTTCTGGGTTTGAAAAAGTAGAGAGAAAATGTGGGGGTTTTGATCAGAGTAAGAGTGGAAAGAAATTCGCTGTTTGCTTGAAGAAGAGGCGAACTAGCAAGAATTCCCACGGAAAATGCGAATCATATTCTTCCAAAGGTTGGATTCCCGTTACATATATACTTAAACACACACACACACACACATGAAGTATATGCATTTGATACTAATCGGGTGTGGATGTGAATTGATCAACTCCATATTTGTTTTTGTCTAGGGTAAATTACATCGGTAGTCTCTGCATTTTGCTATTTGTGTCATTTTGGTTCCTATAATTTCAGTTAGCTCGATTTTGACTATAAATTTTAGATTTTGTGTCAAATTGGTAGGAAAATGATAGCTAGGTTGGTTGAGATTAATTCATTGAGTTGAATAAGTTTACAATTTTGTGTATAAAAGCATAACACATGCTACTTATGTGCTCCGTTTTCATATTATATAAAAGGAAAAAAAAAAACTAACAATTGTAATTAATTGGACTAAATTGAGACAAAATGATAAATTGAGGGTCAAAATCGAGTCAATTGAAATTGCAAGGATCAAAATGACACAATGGTTAAAATATAGGGACTATCAATGTAATTTTCCCTTTTGTCTATGTATTATTGGGAGAACTGACTGTTTTTCTAAGTTTTATGGCTAAAATATTAGGGACTACCACCAATATAATTTTCCCTTTTGTCTGTGTATTATTGGGGGAATTGACTGTTTTTCTAAGTTTTATGATTGTGCCCATCAAAGTTGTTTTCAGCAAATAGCTCCTATTTTTGGTCATTTCTTGTTAATGTTGCCTGTCAATTATGAGGGATATTCAAATGAAACTATTATGTATGAAAGTTGATGACACCCTGTTGTCAAGTGAAATTCACATTTTGTAATTTTTCTATTTTGTTTTTCATCCTTTCATAGAATTGGTAAAGTTATATCTGCATCTAACATTATGAACTAAAACTATACCTGTCACCTTTTCAGGCAAAAGCTCTAGTAGAGAAGAACATGCGTGATCTTCTTGCTCAAAGAGAGCAAGCAGAGAGAAATGTAAACATCTTTTCATAAGTGTAATTTTCAGAATCATGAGTTACCTTTGCATTTGCATGGCTCATATCAATATATGCTTGCAGAGATTGGCCGAAGCTCTTGATGCTGAAGTGAAGAGATGGTCGAGTGGGAAAGAAGCGAACCTGCGTGCATTACTTTCGACACTACAATATGTATTAACCTTAATCCTTCTTTCACATAAACATGCATTATGTGTTTCATTTGCATTTATACAGCATTCAGTGCATTAGGAGCTATTAAAGTGTTTTTAGCTATGACATGTACTTAAATAAAAAGTGAAAATATAATTTTGGGTAGAAGTCTTTGTAAAGTTAGTGTCAATTTTTTTAGCTACAAGCCATGCCAGTGGGAATCCTATCAATTTAGTTGCTATATATTCCCAAGTGCTTAATTCTTCTGGTTGCCCAGCAAAAATCGATCACTTTCTTGAATATGTTTAGATCAGACATCAAGGAAATCGGCACAGTATGTTAGTATGAAGAAGGCATAGAACGAAATGAAATTACTCTTTCTCATGCTACTTCATCTGCATTGAACTATTGGCCAGAGTGAGGATTTTGCTGCTGGCACAGAATATTTTTTGAATATCCTGCCCCTGAAAACTAATACATGGAGATGTGGCCTGACCAAGGTCCATATTCTGCATCAATATATCAATTATTATCTGCTAATAGATGCAGTCAGAGTCTTTCATTTCTGTTCCTCATTCATATGTGTAGTTCAATAGATGATCGAGATCGACATAGTTCAGTATTACAATATTGATCCTCATCCTTGCTTGGTTACACTGACTGATTCCTCTTTCTGTAATTTTCCATTTACTTGTGCTCTAAATTACATTTTCATCATCCACAGATCCTTGGGCCTGATAGTGGTTGGCAGCCAATTCCCTTGACTGAAGTTATAACTTCTGCGGCTGTTAAGAAAGCTTACAGGAAAGCCACTCTATGTGTTCACCCTGACAAATTACAACAACGTGGTGCAAGTGTTCAGCAAAAGTATATATGTGAAAAGGTTTTTGATCTTCTGAAGGTATTTTACTGGCTTCGCTTTCTTTTACCAATTTGATCAATGACTATGTTCTAAAAAACTATGAAATAAAGCCTTTCTCCATGCTACATATAGGTGAAAGTGAGCATATAATAATCTCTCTCTCTCTCTCTCTCTCTCTCTCTAAAGCTTGATAAATGGATGCTTGTTCCCAAGTTACTACTACAAAAATGTTACTGTTGAGCTTGATATAGTTTTCTTGTATTGGCATTTTGGTACACCTCAATAGTATGTCTTAAAGTTTGTACTATACATCTATGATTAAAATTATAGTTTATTTAACTACATGAATACCTTGGTAATTGAGATTATACTATAATTGTACTTACTACTTCTCCATCCATGCTAGTTTTGTAAAAATGGAGATTGTATCCAAGGAATGCATTGATACGATAATTTACCTGATGAAATGTCTTATGCACATGAAGCCCAGTTTTGGCATCAAAGTTTCAATAGTAAAAATGATTCTTTGGTTAATTAATCATTATTCACTTATTAACATCCGATTACCCCCAAAAAATAAATAAATAAATAAAATGGAACGAAAAGAGTACTAGCCAAGTTCAAGCTTCAGTTATGACAGTATGAGATGGACCTTTAATGTTACAGTAACTTTGTCCCTCTTTAACCCCCAATGTAATGGACTGATCTTTGCCATGAGCGTCATGTAACTCAAATTACATCCAAACAAATTACTCAAGTTTGGTCTGAAGTAACTAACAGTTCTTGATAATCGTTGCAGTACTTTTCTATTTATTGTTTTTGTTTTATGTGTGTTCAGGAAGCTTGGAACAGATTCAACTCAGAGGAGCAGTAGATGGCCATTGCAGCACATCATGTAATTTATACTTGTAGCTAGTAAATATCTCTACGTCTGTCAAATATTTTTAGTTCTTTCGTTAGGTTCCAAAGGTAAGCTCAAGCTTCGAGATTGCCAGGGAAGAAATGTTGGTGAAAGAAGAAGGTTTATCTCTTTCGCTTCATCGTTGCAGACCCTTTAACAGATTAAAATAGAGGTCTGTTCTCTTTCATGCTATGATGATTTACCAGAGGATTTGAGATTCGGATAATTCATACATATATATATCGCCGGGAAGACAGTTCGGTCGGCAGTAATGAAGGGTTGGAATTGAAATCCCATTTCTGTTTATCATTGTTATTGCATTCCTGTTTCCAGTGTCCTTGAATTCAAGTACATGTACAATATGACACATCTGGTTTGGTGATTAATGGATAGAATTAAAATAGATAGAGCTATTGATTTATTTTAGTTGAAGACATGTTGCCTATGACCTAAACGTTAATGTTCACTTTAGTTTGAAATGTTCATTACAGTACATGTGCTCCGTTACTAATGTGTTGACAACTGCTCTATTGATTAACCCATTGGAGGGTTGAAAGAGAAGAGAAATTGGAAAGTTAAATTTGAAATTAAGCTTAAATTATTCCAAATTCAAATGAAATGTATTGCAAATGCAAATAAAATTATAATTCATGCGATCTCTGTACATATCTCAAATGAACGAGTAAGTGAAATTCATCATCCATTCGGCATTCTAATTAGATTTTGTATTACCAACCCAATCTCTCTCTCTCAAAAAGAAAAGTACAGGCAATTATGTAAACTAAAAAATAACCTCTGTTCTTTAACGTCATTTTTATCCAAACATTATTATTATTATTTTTGAAGTTATAAAACAATCATTAAAAATTATCTGAACAATCTATATAACAATGGAAGGCTTGGTTTGAATTCGAGGGTTCAAAATGTATATGTGTCAACATATGGACTGTTAGATGGATTAAATCCAATGGCTGAAAATATCTTACTCTCATTTGTCCTATTTGAACATTTCAATGGTTGAGATCAATTAACATCAAGATTTGATGGTTCAAAATGTAAGTTCCAAAATCTCTCTCACACTTACTCCTCTCATCTCAAAATCTGTCTCTCTTCCAAATTTCAAAATTTGAGCATAGGCCCTCTCTCTCTCTCTCTCTCTCTCTCTCTCTCTCTCTCTCTCTCTCCATTGGAGCCCATTCACGTGCTCTTCTTCAACTCCTATCGGAGCCCAACTCTTGCCGGAGACCCAACCCCGAACCCCATATTACTCTCTTCGTCTTCTCTCTTCCTCCCTCTCTCTCTCCGTCATCCCAATCTTCATCAACAGTGGCAACGATGACTGAATAGAGCCACTGCAAATGACGAATCTAAAGGAAGAATCTAGTATATTTCCAGCAAGAGAGTAAACCAAAAGAATCTGGTATACTGTTCAGGTGAAGAATCTTCTTCTATATTTCCAGCAAGTATATTTTTTTTTGGGTATTTCTATCTTTAAACCAAGTATATTTTTCTGAGTTTCTTCTGAATTTGGTAGTATTTTTTTGAGGTGTCTAATTCTCTTTCTTGAGTATTAATTTTTTTGGGTGAAGCAAGTATATTTCCAGCAGGTTTGTTACTCTAATTCTTTTTCCAGTAGGCTTGTTTCCATTAGGCATTGTGTTTGATTAATTATATAATCAATTTTATTGATGAAGGCACAATCTTGAATTTATTTTTGTTGATTTTTGTCTTAAAGAAATTTCTGGAAATTCAACAGCAATGTAATAATGAATATTCAACAGTTTGATTATTTAGAGTTCAAGTTTGGAACTTTTGAAGTGAGATTGGTGGCAATGGCAATATGGTATGTTTGAGAATATTCTAGGTAAAATGAGGAAATAGGGTCATGGACTTGTGGTGGTGCACTTAATTTGATTAGCTTTTATGTGAAATTTTCATGGGTGATTGATTGAGCTGGAAGCACTGATAAAATAAAGGCTTTGATGCTAGAGTGTTGCTGTTAGATTAGTAGGAGAATCTGAATCGTTTTTAAACAACAATGATGCAAATCTTTTTTCATCGAGAAGACGAAAGTTTTCCATTAACAAATTAATACATTGACATGAATATATACAGATTACACGGAAATTTATTGACCCCTTGATTAAAAAACTACCCAAATAATTGAAGGTATATTTGAAGTTTGTGATTATATTTGTGTACAAGCGTAATGACCACTGAACACCCATTTGAATGGTTCATGGTGACATGCATTACTGATGCATGATCCTCATCTTTCTTTTTTGGGACTTCAGTAACATTATTTAAACTTCGTGGCTGTTGAGAGTTACACTATGTAATATGTTCTTTTGATCAGTTATTATTTTTTATTTTATTTTCAGGAAAGATCAGTTTTTGTTTGGGTGATTAGCAATGCATATAAGGTGTTTGAAAAAATGCATGTGAGAGATAGAAATTGGTAGTGGTGGCTATTGGGGTGGTGGGTTTTAACTGGTTCTGGAAGGTACAATTTGGTCAATTATTTTTTCATTTATTGTTTAAAAGTATTAAAATAAACTTTGAAGGATAAAATTTTTATTTTTATTTAAACTTTGATGACATTATTAATTTTTTTACATTTGTCTAATATTGATTAACATAAGATTGTAAGTGTACTATAATTAAGCTTTTAGCAAAATTTGTTATAATGATTTATATCAATCGTCTTTTTTTTTTTTTTAATTATAAGCGGAGGTCCATAAAATATCAAAAAATGATTTTTTCTATTTGGGACACCGTATGACACATATCATAAACCAATCACAAATCATTATGCCTTTTGTTGTGCCTTATCACCTAACAAAAAAATCATGGGTTCTACCTTCTCTACTAAGCCATGCAATAACACGTGGCTGTGTCGTTGAGACACGGGACAACTGTTTTAAAATATCCTTAAATTGTTTTGACTATCTTAATGTGTCATTGAAATGAAAATCAATGGTTGGACCTATGATGAAACCTCTTACCTCACAAGCTATAGCAAAAACAAATTGCATAGTAAAAAATATTACATGTGTCAAATCTATATAACAAGGAGGCTCTGTTTTTGAATCCTGATGGGACTTTTGTCCCTTTGTCAAAATATAGACCATTAGATTGATTCAATCCAAGGGTTGAAAATGTCTCTCATTTGTCCTATTCAATCAGAAGATCCAATGGTCCAAAATGTAATCTAATGGCTCTATTTTTGAACATACACCCCCTCTCTCTCTCTCTCTCTCTCTCTCTTACGCACTCTCATCTCTTTCTGACTTCAAATTTTCTTTGGGAAGACAATATGCTGTGTTTGGCAAATCAACAATTTTCTTTGCATTTGTTGCTTTCAAAATTTCAGGATTCAAACTTTTTCCTCACAGCTCTTCATACCCTTTGGCTGAATCCTCTCATCTTTTCCGTAAGCTCTATCTCTCTCTCTCTCTCTCTCTCTCTCTTTCTTCTTCACATGCACACACATATCTTGGCACAGATTTCCTTTGGAGAAAGTTTTGTTGCTTTTTGTGTTAATTTGGTCCCCTGTGACTCTTTATTGAAACACCCATTATTCATCTTCTTGATCTAAAAAATTGTACAGATCTGTTAACACTAAGTTGTGTTCGTATTAATTTTGGTAAAGTTTCTTCTGAATTTGTTAAACCCATGTTCTATTTTATTTTTTGGTGCAAACCCATGTTCTAATTTTGGTTTGACGAGAATGCTTTTGTTTTAGTTATTGCACACTTTTTCAAACTTTGTTTGTTGCAGTTGGTAATTATCTTATGAACCAATAGGTAAATTTTGTTTGTAAATAAAGAGTCACAACCAGTTGGTAAATTTTGTTTGTTGTAGTTGGTTTTAATTTGTGATAATCTATTAAACCCATGTTTCAGTTTGTGAAAGTTTCTTAGACGTATCTTTATCTCATTGTTTTGGATCTAATATCTACAAATCTTTTTTTTTTTTTTTCAAAGAGTCAACTTGGAATTTTACACAAATTGTTAGTGTTATTGGACAATTTTATATGTTGTTTAATTATTGTTTTCTTTTTCTTTGATTCAATGCAGTAACAATAGTTGTTCTTTCTTCAAGTAATCTATATATCAATGGAAGGGTTAGTTTGAAAATATCTTTCAAATTAATGGTCCAGATCTATCTAGATTTAAAAACAATGGCTCAGATTTACTTTTACAAATATCTTTCTCACAAACTATCTTCAATGGTCCAGATATCTTTACCTATCAACTCTTACCAACCCACCTACTGCACTTTACCTATCACTGTGAAAGAAGGAAGAAGGAAGGAAGAACAAAGTTCTAAAGGAAGATCAAAGCTTTGAAGGAAGAACAAAGCTCTCTGCATTCCTTTTCATTTTTTCTCCACCATCACCAAGTAAGGCACTCTTATCTCCTCACTTTCTTTTTGTTTTTTCATTCATTTTTTTTACCCCCCCTTTTTTTTTCTTCAGTTCATAGCTTTGTTTTTTGTCCCTATGTTTCTGGACATGGGTTTCATCCCATCATGCATTGAAATGACATATCCCAGACATGCATCATTTTTTCTTTCCAGCTCATGCATCATATAATATGCCAAACAATAAAGAAGTGGACTATTGAAAGCTAATGTTAAAGAAGTGATCTTGGGACGAAGTGGACTATAAAGAAGTCAAATGATGAATTTCCCATGTACGATTTTCCTCAAAAACATCAGTAAACAAATCCATACAGAGCTAATGTTAACATTAAAAATCTAAAGCAAAAAAAATAAATAAAAATTTATGTGTTGTTATGTGTTGTGTTTTGTTCTTAGTTCTTTTTTTGATTTTCTTTTTTCAATTAAATGAGTTAATGTTAACATTAATTGGGTTGAGATTTTCTTTAATAATCAATGGGGTTTCAACACCCACTTTCCTCTTTATCAAATGGGGGTTAAGGAAAAATGGGTTTCATGTTAGCAACGGGTTAAGGGAAAAGGGGTCTCATAACTCTTTATTAACACCCATTGTTTGGTTCTTAGTTCTTAGTTCTTAGTTCTTTGTTAATAATCTGAAGCAAAAATAAATAAATAAATAAATTTATGTGTTGTGTTTTGTTCTTAGTTCTTCTTTTTGGTTTTATTTTTTCAATTAAATGAGTTAATGTGATATTTGATTACATTTATGTGTTCTCATTGCCTAAAAATTTGTTAGGCTCACATTTATTTTATTTTATTTTTTAATTCTATATTGATTTATTTAACACTTTGTTTTTTTTATTGACAAATAGTAACATTTTATCAACAATCCCATGATTCTTTGATTTTGAATAGAGTTGACTATCTCAATGTGCTTTTTTTGTGTGTTTTTTTTTTTTTTTTTTTGACTTAAATGTTATTTGAGAGAGAATTTGTACAGCCATGACCATATCCATTTGTAAATGGGTCAAAGAAAGGTAGAAATTGATTTTTTGGGTCCAACATTATCATCCAAATTCAAAAGAATATGTTTAATTTAGGTCTATATTTTGCATATTTTTTAGTACAGGGATAATTCTTCTACTCTCTCCACTCCCCCCCCGGTCTCATATGCAAAATCTGCAATCACCTCAAACTGAAATCCTATTGTTGAAGCATATCATGCAGTCCAATTCTCTTGATTCATGAACAATCCAATATTCACCTCCTATGGGGAGTTGGTTTTAAAATGAAGTGCTAACCACCCTCTTCCCAACTTTGCCGATCTACTCTAGCCTTGCTCGATCTCCCCCCTAAAGCTCCAACTCCCTCTTCCCAGTCCCGACTTGCCCTTCTCTCTCAGGTACAATTTGTGTTCTTTTTAGTATCATTGTTTGTATAATTTTGAATATTTTTATGTGGTTTATGAAATCTGTTTGTATTTTTTTTTGTAACCATTCCTATCTATTACTTATATAATTTTTTTTTTATCTATTTTCTTATTTAATTGTATTAAAGGAGAATTTGTAATGTCCCTTGGTTCTTCGATCGTAGAATGGTGAAGCTATGTCAAAGGTATGAAAATTAGGTATGGATTTTTTCTAAATCCATTTCTAAAATTTGATTTCTTCTTGCTTAAAGATTAACAATTTTTGGTGTTTCTAATATAATCACCATATGTAAGAATATTTTTATGTGATTCATGATTTTTTTTGGGATTTTTTCTTGCTAAAGGTCAACAATTTTCGAGATTTCTAATATAATCACTATTTGTAAGAATATTTTTTATGTGATTCATTATTTTTTTTCCTATGTATTTTTTTTTATCATTTGAATAGTCATGAAATTTGTTTGTACAATTGAGGTTCAAGTCATTTTAAAAGCATTATAACTACACTTTTTGTTATTTTGTTATTTTCCAAGCCTACTTCACAATATTTCCTGCACATTTAAATGACAACTTCTTGGTAATTAGCAATACATTTTACTGCTTTGCATTTTCACATTCAAAATTTGTTGTACATGATTTTCTAGAATGGAATCGCCTCTAGATGATCTTTTGCGTTAGTCTGCAAGAAATAATTGAAGTAATTCTGATTATGCTTTTACGAGATCATCCAAATAATTGAAGGTATTCATTGACATCTACTTTTCATATTTAGTAATAGGTGTAATATCAGTTTTGCCATGGACTACCAGATTTGTTATGTTCATGAAAAATAAAGAATTTAAATTTAGTGAGATGTCAAATTTGTTCCTACATGTAGTATTTTTTTTTGGTTTGCATATTCGGGATTTTTCTTCCAATGAACAACTGGATAAGTGAATATTGTCCTGAGGGCACAACAAGATGGTGAATTTGATGGCCATGGATGTCATGGATTTTTTTTTATTAATTTAAATACGTTCGTAATTTCTAAGCTTATTTCTTTTAATGGGATTAAGTGAGAAACAAGAGATGATGTACTATTAATGATTGTGTAGGATCTTAGATTTTAAAGATTCAAACAGTCTCATCATTGTCTAATGAAATCATGCATGGTGTAGTCAATAATTTGCAATATTACTGAACATTATAAATTCTATATGTTTATTCCTTAATTTGCATTAAGGTTAGGGGGAGTTGTTATTTTTAATTGAGTTCTGTAAAGTGTGTCGTACAAGTAAAATTGTTAAAAATTCTTTAAGAAGAATAAAAAAATGCTATGGACTCCATAAATTTTAACATGATATGTATAAATTATAATTATATTTTAATCCCAATATTTTGTACATATTCATTTTTGCTTGCAGGATTATTGTTTAGATTCATTTTTTCCTTCCAAATTAGTTTTAGTGTTTGTTGTGGCCAATACAAGCTATCCATTTCATATCATCTTTGTTTTTTTTTTTTTTTTTTTTTCTCTCAATTAATTTGTCATGTGTTGCTTCATGCATTGTTGAGAATATAAAATTGTGGCCTCATCATGTCTGTCAAAGATTAAAAATATTGTGTTTTGGACTTATATAGTAGTGATGACACAAATTTTTGATTTTTTTGTGAATTTTGCGATGAATAGTTTGTGTTTTTTAGGGCTTTTTAATTTTATTTTTTATTATTTGATCTATTTACAGAGCTTAGATAATTGGAAAAATGTGAGTTCATCAATGTGTGTTCTATGTTTGCTTCATTGTAGTAATTCATTATCTAGATCAAAGTGTTTGGAGAGGTTTGCCTAATTCATATTTTTGCTGTTGTTGAAATTTGCTCCCCGGTTCAACTAGGAAGACTTCTATACAAGAGTTATCCTTTTATTGTTAAGTTTCACTATGTAAAACCTGTGTAAACTTCTCTCTTACATTCATGTTTAGAATCTTTGCTCAATACTATTTTTCATGTGTGTTTCAGCCAATGATGGGATCAGAATTATGCTCACCACTAGTATATTTAGAGCTATCAAAGAAGTAAATGAATTTTGTGCTGAAAGAAGGGGATTAATTACAAAACAAATTGAAAGAAGATTATTTGTTGCTATGACAATGTCCAGTCCAAACCAAACCAAACCAAACCAAATTAAACAAAGTCTTAAGTCCCATTGCTATGACAATGTCATTGCAAAAAATTGTGAAACATGCAATTATCACTCTTAAACATGGGTTTGCTGAGTTTTTTTGGTATTGTTCAAATTGAAATCATAAAATTATCTGATTCAATAATATTATATTAAGCTATTCATGCATTTGTTATTGTTTTTCAAATTATTTTTATTACTGCAATGAGTTCATTTTGTTGTCAAATTAGAGTTGCTTTTAAAGAATCATTTTGTTGATTTCTCATATGTATTTTGATGCGATTTCTCATAGCTATTGGTTTTTTAAAGCGAATTTAAGTGAGTGATTTTGTTGCAGGTGACTGATCTGTATTAGAAACGCTGGGTTATGTTGCTTCTTTTTATGTGTGTAGTTGGTTGGCTCTCATTCTAAACTAGATGATTAATTATTATTTTTTTTAGTTAGATAGGATGATTATTCTTTTGTACCAAAATATTCATTCACCTTTTCTTGAAGGTATTGAAATTTGTTAAAGTGAAAAGGTTACCAGTTATGATACTAATTTAGTAACATCCTTTTATTGAAGGTTTGCTATACATGTGTCATTTTGACGTGGATTGAATTCTAAAATTTGCTGTTTGGACTTAAATTTTAGCAAATATTTTTAGATGCTATTCTTTGCTTATGCTACACTGTAATATAAAATTCATTATTTGGACTTTAATTTTGAAGTTTGTTATTTGAAATTTATGAATGTTTTTGCCAATTTACTGTGTAGAAACAATTTCAACTTCTTATTTGTAAAGTATTAAACTGGAGTGATATATCATTTTAAATTGATTTATTACAATTGAATTCCGTAGCACGTGTGGTACTAAAAACATTATTGACCGTGCCTTATCCCTAGTTATATAATATGGCTAGCTGTGTTTGATTAGACAGACTGGATAAGGGGAATTAGAATCCATCGGACTTGAGTTCTGGGACTATAAATCCCCCGAACTATTTGGTTAAATTAGATATGTATCCTGTGTTTGTTTTTTAGTGAATCCAACACTTGGTTGGACGGACTGGATAGGATAAATGAACAAAAGATTATTTTATCATTTTTCAATTGTTTACTAAGTAATAATAATATTAAACATATCTTTAATATTTTAATTATTTTTAGCTAGATTAAATAAAAAATTATTTTATTTTATTTTTTACACAATGAAATAAATTTATTTTTTAAAAATAAAATAAATAAAATATCAATAAAAATATATGTTATTTTTTTAATTAAAATTTTAAATAAATTTGTTTTTAAAAATAATAATAATTAAACAATGAAATTAAATAAAACATCTATTAAATTTAAATAATGAAATTAAATAAAATCTCACAAACTCAAAATACAACTATATTCTCAAATCATATTTAGAAAACTCTACTAAATGCAACCTTAAATTTTAAGTTTTACTAAATATAATACATAATTAAATAGTAGATGATCAAAATAGTCATTTCACCACCTAATCTCATGAGATTGTTATCCCATAAAAATTGTCCCACACCCGCCGGACAATATAATCCCACATATGGGGATAAGGAGTTCGACTGAACTCCATGTCCGGCGGACTAAAAAAAAACAAATGGCGGATTGGATGGTTCCTCCGGATTACAATTCGCACAATAAATAGTCTCCCCTTATCCCTCCAATCAAACACACCCTAAAAATTAAAAAGGTACAATATAATTATATTAAAATTGTGAGACCTATCATATTTTTGTTGAACTTTACATGAGGGCAGTGTAATTTTCTCTTCGTTTCTTTATTAAATAGAATGACCTATAAAAAGGACCGATAAAAAACCCCTCTTTAAAATGGTTAGTTAATTTCTTATAAAGTAATGATACGATTACAACTATGCTTTCTATTACTTGTACTATCCCTTCAATTCCGGGACATCCAAATCTTAGTTAATGTCCACGTTTAGTCGTTTTATCTGTTTTTTACCCGCCAAAAAACTTCACAACCGATTTTTAAAGGACGCTGCAATAATAACGAAGCATCAATACCGCAATGTCCACGCTCACCACCTGTTCGACAAAACGCCCCACGGAGACCTCTATTCTCTCAACTCTCTTATCGCCTCGTATGTTCGCAACAATGACCCTCTCACGGCATGGAATCTATTCGTTCACATTCATCGCATTCGTTCCGACCTCAATGCCTACACTTTTACGCCTGTCTTGGGCGCCTGTTCGTCTTTGTCAAACTCCAATCGCGGCCAACAAGTCCATGGTTTGATGATCAAACTGGGTTCTGACTCGGGAATTGTTACGAAAACTGCGTTGATTGACATGTACTCCAAGTATGGCCAATTGGGTGACTCGGTTCATGTCTTTGATGACATGGGTTTCAAGGATGTGGTTGCTTGGAACGCAATGCTATCGAGCTTTCTGCGCCATGGTTTCCCTGTGAAAGCGCTGCGTGTATTTGAGGCAATGAGGAAGGAAAGAGTATGATTATGAATTTAGCGAGTTCTCGTTGTGTTCTGTGCTTAAAGCTTGTGCCTCTTTGAATGCAAAGCGACAGGGTAAGCAAGTTCATGCACTGGTGATTGTAATGGGCCGTGATTTGGTAGTGCTGAGTACGGCTCTGATTGATTTTTACTCGGGTGTGGGATACATCGATGAAGCAATGAAAGTTTATTGTAAATTGAATCGCCAAGCGGATGATATAATGCTTAATTCATTGATTTCTGGGTGCATTCAGAATCGAAAATATGATGTCGCTATGTCGATTATGAGTGCTATGAAACCTAACGTAATCGCGCTAACCAGTGCCCTCGTTGCGTGCTCTGAGAATTCAGATTTGTGGATTGGGAAGCAGATACACGGCATGGCTATCCGTCAGGGCTTCATCTCTAATACCCAGTTGTGCAATATATTACTGGACATGTATGCAAAATGTGGGAAGATTTTGAATGCCCGTTTGGTATTCGATCAAATGCCTCAAAGTGATGTAGTTTCTTGGACAAGCATGATAGATGCATATGGCAGTCACGGACATGGGTGTGAATCTCTTGAGCTGTTCAAGAAAATGGGGGAAGAGGGTAATCGTGTTGCGCCTAATTCTGTGACATTACTTGCTGTTTTATCTGCGTGTGGGCATTCAGGTCTCGTGGAACAAGGCCAGGAATGTTTTGCTTTGTTTCAAGAAAAGTACGGTGTGGATCCAGGTCCAGAGCATGATGCCTGTTTTATAGATATATTAGGTAGGGCAGGTCGGATTGAAGAAGCGTGGCGACTTTTTCATGATATGGTTGACAACGGTATTAAGCCTACTGCTGCTGTATGGGCAGCACTATTGAATGCTTGTACACTTAACCAGGATGTCACTAGGGGTGAATTTGCTGCTAAGCAGCTCTTTGAGTGGGAACCAACTAAACCTGCGAATTACATAGCGTTGTCGAATTTCTATGCGGCTGTTAAAACCTATCACCTATTTCACCCACTTAAACCTACTCCACTAAACCTAACCCACTACACCACTACCACCTCCACTTCACCTACTCCACCTACCACCTACTACCACCTACTCTTCTATATATATGAATCATTGTAACATTCATCAATCAATAATACATCAATTCTAACATGGTATCAGAGCTATAAGATTTAGGCCTATATTTCTTTCTCGCCGGCGGGCAGTCGGCCGGCAATCTTGCCTTCGCTGCCCGCTGGAGTTTTCTACACATACTCACATGACGATCTGTGTTGATTCATGATCAGACAGTCCAATTTTGTTCCTGCCCCTTTGTTTCTGCCGCCACCGAGCTCGCCGGAGAACTCCGCCATACTGCTCTCGCTCAGTCACCGGAGAACTCTTCTGCTCAATCCTTGATGGTGTTGTCATAGCTACACGAGACCAACAAATCTAAGCCCGGCTGAGAGAGACGGGATAATTCATTTAGGAGCTGCTGTTGTTGCACATCAAAATCTGGCAACAAATCTAAGCCCTCTGCTGCAATATCTCTTGCATTTAAAGATGATCACAAGCGACTTGACTGAAAATGAACTGCTGTGTATGTGTTGTGGCTCTGTGTGAATGTGTGTATGAACTGCTGTGTGTTGTGTGTGGAGAACCAACCCGAGAGAGAGAAGTTGGGTGGGTTTCTCTTCTCTAAACTATGCTCCACAGGCTGTTAAAGCTCCAAACACCAAACACCCACCTTTATTTTAATATTTCCACCCATTTATTTTAAACTTTTCTTCCACCAACCCACCAACCCACTGATTCTATATTTTATTTTATCACCCATCATTTCTTTTCACTTTTTCTTCCCACCACTTTCAATCAACTTGTCTTGCATAGCGGGAAGATTGATAAAGAAAAATATTCCAATACAACAAAGCACACCCATTCTTCTTTTATTTATTTAATCACACTCACCAAGTTTGTTTCACTCTCATTATCACATCCATACACACCGGTATCATGTTGTCTTCAACTTTCTTTTATTTATCATTTTAAAATACACCCTTATCATGTTGTTCCCCACCTTCTTATGGGCTTGTCCCCTCTCTCTCCTCCGTTTGATTTCAAAATCACTTCTTTTTATTTATTTTCTCCAAAACACTTTTAATCTCTTTCAAATACTCACTCTATAATAATATCTCTTTTGCAGGGGCACTACCCCCAACTTTATTTTGAAACATCCATCATCCACCTCACACCGATCTTTCTCCAATAACCCATCCAACAATATTTTTTTTTATCTATTTTTTATTTTATTTTATTTTTATTATTAAACAAAACAACCACACAAAATAACACCAAAACAGAAACATTCCACAAACTTGTCCTTTCTTCATGCCGGGGATCAACCTCGATCAGCATTTTACACCAAAAAAAAAAAAAAAAAAAAAAAAAAAAAAACACACAAAACAACCACATCCACAGGCAGGATTTTGCTTCTCTACTCTGCTGCGGGTCGCTTTTTCTTGCCTCCGTCCTGGACGGCCCTTGCCGGTGTTGCCTCCGTGTTTCCCACTCCACCGAGCACGTTCACTCCCTCATACTCCTTCACTACAGCATATGGCGGACCTCCAAATCGGAACATCACGGTGGCCTTCCGCTTCAGCTCCTTATTTTTCGCCTTTAGCACACTTATCTCTGCTCGCGAATCCTTATACATGCGTTGGAGCAGAGCCAGTTGGGCGTTTAACTGCTGCACCTCATTCGTCCTACTCTGCAGCCGGTGCGACAAGTTTGTGACCGCCGTCATGGTTTCCACACATGACGTCAAAGTATACTGATTGGCCTCAATATCAGTTTGCACCGCCATTTTTTGCTCCACAGACCACATCGGAAAGTTCAACGGAGCAAAACCAGAGGTGTTTGGTTGAGATTCACTGGCCACCGCACTGGTTATCTCTCTTGTTGACTCGTTGAGGTCGGGAAAGAGCGTGAGCAGACCACGGGAAGAGGAGGTCATGTTCTGGGTAGCTGGACGGGAAGAAGAGGCCATGTTTTTGGGTTGCTGAGTGTTTCAGCGACGCAGCGATTTCCGACTGGTACTTTCAGAGAAGGATTGGTTACAGAGTGTTACAAAGTTTCTCTCTCCGAAAACGCAGAGTTTTTCAGAGAAGGGTTGGATCCAGAGTATTTTCAGAGTGTTTCAGTCTGACAATGTTCAGAGGTTTCAGCCTGGTTTGGTTTCCACAGCCTCCGCATTGGTTTATATCGACACTGACGACGCGGCCGACACGCCACTCTGTCGCTCACGTGCCTCGCCGCGTCTCCGGCTCACCTTTTGATGGCTCGACGCTTTCTGTCGGGCACGCCTTTTGATGAAGTGGGCGCGCCTTTTGAGGGCGCGACTTTTGAGGGCTCACTATATATATCCATATATATATATATTTGGGCAGCCTATATACACCATCATACAGTGTAGTTTTTAAGGGTCCGACA